TTACAGTGAAAACTGCCTGCAGCAGAGTCAGCCATCTTGTGTCCTCTAAGCCTCGCTTACATGCGACTACCTAGTTCTCAGGAGTGCGCGGTCAAAAATATCGAAAGGACCCTATTATGAATAAATAATTAATGTATGAGGTTATACGGAAATCTTGCCAAAATTTCAACTGAAGATCGGGCGAGTGTTACTGATTTCAAATATAGCGCCAGTTGGCACCAGCGATACAAGTAGCTGAAGAACACGAGGCACAACCAGTCTGAGGGACAACGAAACTGTGCTACGGACACCGAACGGACTAGCATACACGCCAGTGTAACTGAAAACATAAAAAATTAATGGTCGATTGGATGTAGAATTCGATGTTACCAATAAACAATGCCATGCCATTAGCATAAACGACCGCAACGTGTATGAGTTCCCGCTATCAACAAGACGATCATGTGCACGAACATGACTGGGGACATCAATACAGCACCGAGAGTAAGCGGTGAGCCATCGGGCAATAATCTAGTACTTACCTCAAAGAAGAGGTGATGCTCGGTAGGTAAGACCCAAGAAGAGCGAAAGAGACTGATAAATCGCAAGCATCCTCCATCTAAATCCGGTCGCCATCAAAAATGTTCCTGACTGTCTTGTAATGCGAGGAAGGAGGCCTTGTGCCTCGCTTCTGTGACTTACATGACCCGTGACATAAATGACACTTTCGTGACAAATCACCCGGATGACAGGAAATCCTCCTTTGCTGGTAGCTGGAGAAATACAATAATAATCAGTCACATTAAGCATAAAACCATTTATTTCTTTCAGAAATAAATCTCATAATTTACACATAACTGTTCGTTAAGCCCAGCAGGGAGGGGGTATCTCTATTGTTCTCATGTGTTTGCCTATGACCGATAAATCACTGCTAGTGTGACGTCACATAAAGGGAAGCTTAATGTATCGGTCAAATCGAAGCTTCAACATGCCCCCCCGGGCAACCCCCCGGGCATTTGACTTTTTTGAAAATTATTGTTCAAATTCCCTCCTACCCGGGCTAAAATGCCGTTCAAATGCCCCACACTAGGGTCCATTCAGGTGATCAAATGCCCCCACCCTGGGGACACAGGCACAAAAATGACAGAAGGACGGCTGAAACACCTTCAGTGGTCGAACAAAATATTTATAGATATAACAAAAACTGAGAAACACTGTTAGCGTATTTACTACGAACAAAAGTCTCGTGCAAAGCGGCGGAAATCGCTGCTACAAGGTCACTGAATGCTCAGCTTTTCTTCGTCATGCAACATACAAAGCGTTCTATAAAAAAGATCCCACCTATTGAGATTACTACATCATGACCATTTCACTGACATGCATCATCGTTCACCTTATTAATTAACATACTTGCAGTAGGTCAAAGTAGTTGACCTGAGCTTTTTATCTTATTTTATTTTATGTTGTTGTATTGAATCGCCGATATAGGTATTGTATTTCATTGTAAACACAACAATAAAATACATTCATACATTCAAAGCCTGAATCCAATATTAAAAATTTTAAAATTTAAATACTTCAAATACGGCACAAAGCTTGTTTAAGCCCTTTCCTCGCAACCAATTGGCCACAAAGGCACAATCATTTCCACGAAAATCCTCTAACACCGCGTCCCCCATGATAGCTCGCCACGCCAAAGATTTTACATGAAATCGAAGGTGCAGTTCAAATTCCCCACCCCTAAAGCATTGGGATCAAATTTCCCACCCCCTGGAAGACTCTGATAATCAAATTCCCTCCTCCCCGGGACGGCAAAGGTGTCAAATGCCCGGGGTATGCCCGGGGGGGGCATGTTGTAGCTTCGATTTGACCGATACATAAGCAGCGACGTTTCGAGCCACGGACGTCATCCGGAAGTGGGCTTTTTGCACTCTCAAGCCGTGATTTTAAACAACTTTTTTAGGCAAATCGTCTCTATAAGAGTAAAGATACTTAGCCATACAAATTTGGTAGCGTTAAAGCATATTAAAAGAGAAAAAGGCTCTCTTCCGGTTGACGTTAGCCGCTCAAAAACTTAAACTCCCTAAAAACGGGCGAGAATTCGTGTCGCTTATGCAAATTTGCAAGGGACATCATAGTCATTTGAACAAAAGGGGTGGGGGGCACGATTAAAAGCTGGGCAAATTTTGCTATGCATCGCTAATTTGATCATAAGTTTATGAGCTTTGTTTTAGTTTTTATCTGCTTGTATAAAAACCGTCTTTGTATTTTGTGTCCGCAGTTCTATCATTTTTTTAATCTTTGTCGCGGGCCGTTTTGCGGGATCGGCAAGTTCATAAAAAATTAAAAACCTCGGTTCTCGATACACTGTTTAAATTCTCCTATTTTTCTGTAACATCGTCAAGCGTCGAGCGTCGGGCGCTTTGCGTTACGGGCAGCCATCTTGGATGAGTGTATAAACTACTCAAGGGGCGGCTCCCAAACCGCCCCCTCCCCCAAAGTAGTTTTGACACAGCAAAACAAAGCGCTAGATCTCGACGATCTTACGGAAAAATAACTGGACTGTGACCAGTCTACTTCGCGAGGAAAAAGTCTCTTGAAAATGAATAAAATGGTTGCTAAGAAGAACTAGAAGTCTTTCTTACGAATAAAAAACGTGCGTAACAACCACTCTAGCAACTCCAGCTAAGCATCCAGAGTGTCACAGTCACAGACTAGAACCACTACGTGGAACTTACCGGGGCCCAGTGAGACATGGGATTGCATGGATATAGTTTACCTCTCGCACCCCTCCCCCCTCCTCTGTGGAGGGTAATACTTAGTCTGAATTAACTCATGCAGAAGAAAAGCAACAAAATGCATGAGAAAGGAGGATGTTGTTGGAAGTTTGTTCAGTGTTATTACAGCTAACGGTCTGTGTTATAGTAGTGTTTTTAGTAACACTGTGATGTCAATAAGTGTGATCTGTATAAGGTTTTCATTTGTTTTTAAGTTTGAGTGAAAAAGCAAAAATCACTGACAGTTTTGGGTTGAATGGTAATGACAAAGTTTGCAAAGAAGTTTGTTACAGAATTATCACAATTTCACATTTTCTCAAGTACGTTATCATCAGGTTTATCATTGAGATTTATTAATCACATTTATCTATTTTTTGCTAAAACACTGTGAATTTGAAATGATAACAGACATAAGACATTTTTGAAATAGATCTTTGTGGTCATGGATTGTTGTCTTGCACTGTAAAAAAAATTTAATGTCATCCAGTGTTATATATAGACATAATAAAATGCTTATTTATTGATGACTGAGTATCATCTGTTAATTCATTGCACATTGAAATGGAGGCACTTGATTGTAAGGCAGTGGTTGATACATAGTAGCATTCATCAATATGACCTATAATAATTGTAAGTGAATTGTAGAGGAAGTATTTCTTTCCTGAACTGGGTAAACAGTAGTATATCTGCAACTGCTTGAGTGATAAGTGCATCAGCCCATGTACCTTGAATACACATCTTATTCAGATATCTTAGCCATGAATTTTCGGTATTGCTCTCAATAAATCTCTCTGGATTGTTTCTCATAAATTGAACCCCAGCAGTACGTTTATGTATATGATGGTTGCTATTGCCATATAATTGATGTGATACAGATTTAAAGAAACAATGACCTGCACCGCCAACATCTATTGATTGTAAACAAAGTGCACCTAATCTTGACTGCATCAAATTCTCAGAGGAAATAGGAGAGTTCAACTGCATTGTTGAGCTGTGATTTTGCATTGAAGGTCTAATTATTACTTCATGATGATCAGTGTTGTATTGAGTAGGTCCTGGATTCTTCTCAACATCTTTACTTAGTTTGAAATTCACATAATTGGTCATATGACTCACACAATTGCAAGGAAACAATGATAAATATCGACGTGCTTTACATTTTAGTTTCATTATCCTGTGATAATGCCTGCTAAAGAAAGACAAAAAATAAGCTTTCTTGGGTATAGCCATTTTATTTAAGTTAATTATCTTTGGATCGCGTTTGTTATTACATTTATATCGTGCATGATAAAGTTTTCTCACCTTATTAACATAGCGATGGAGCTTTGAAGACTTCGGTATGTCAATCATTGAAATCTTTTTGAAGACAAATTTTGATAAGTGTTCGCTTTGATTCTCGATAAATTTCACGATGGAAGGTTCACTCAATTTCTCGATAAGTTTCACGATGGAAGGTTCACTCTTAAGTGATCGCTCGTAAATTTGTCTCTCCAAATATTCACTCTTAAATTTTCGCTCATAAACTAGTGCATCGTAAAGGTTGGGGAACGTGTCGTTCCCCAAAAAGCTATAATCTTTCTCTTGACTGTCCTCCATGCCTCGTTCTTTTCAAAATGGCGGATAAGATTTCAATGAGCCAGCGATATATCTCAGACAGCGATATATCCCTAACAATGTAACGTTGAAAAAACGGACCGTCTGCATTTTAAGACCGGTGCCAGCCTTCGGCTGGGCCCCGGTAATAAGGACATTCACTTCCAAGACTATTATTATTATCATTTGTTTATTTTTATCAGGTGTTGGAAACTGCTAGGCCACAAATTCTTCAGAGGTGGGCAATGTTGCTTATTCGCAGACGGATTCTGATGAAAGTTACCTTCTGTCTATTTCTAGCAGTTTGTGTCTTCCTGTGCTTGCGTATTTTCTATGATGTCCAGATGACTTTTCCATCCTCGTACCATATTCTAGAATATGAAAAATTGCAAGAGCCGGCGATGGTCATACACAACGAGCAAGAATACTATTGAAGACAATATACAGAGAGGGGGCAGCTGTGGTGTCAACTATTTCTAGTTAATTTCCTGGCATTTGCACTGTCTGCACTTCTCCCCCAACTAGTATTGGTGCTATAAATACTGCCGAGGCTAAATAGCGGAAAATTATTTATTAATTTTTTTGTTTACTTTTTTAATTCCATTTCATCAGGTGTTGGAGACTGCTGCACGGATTCCTCCGAAACGGGCCATGTTGCTAGTTCGCAGACGAACTCTCAAGAAAGTTACCTTCTGTCTATTTCTAGCGTTTGGAGGGTTTCTGTGCTGGTATATTTCCCATGTTGTTCAGCTGAGTTTTCTACGCTCGTACCGTGTTCTAGAATATCAGGGAGAATTGCAAGAGCTGGCGATGGTCATGTCAAATGCGAGTTCGCCAACAAATATATTTTCAACGACACAATCAAGTGACAAATTAAAGCACCACAAGACAACTCTTATAACTACGACTAGTTGTGGGCGGCCCTACTTTCTCCTAGTAGTGGTCTCATCCGCACCCTATAATGCCCAGAGAAGAAGAGATATCCGCCTAACTTGGGGGGTCGACAGCGATCTAAACTCAAGATGGAAAACAGTTTTTCTTGTTGCTCAAACGCGTAACCGAACGGAGTCGGAAGCACTGTTGCAAGAAGGCGAAACCTTTGGAGATCTCATACGCGCGGACTACTATGATGATTATTGGAATCAGACCCTGAAGATACAAATGGCGTTTGAGTGGGCTTCCAAATACTGCCAGTTTTCCTTTCTTTTGAAAATGGACGACGACGTCTTTGTCAACACGAGGGCATTAATTTCACTTTTGAAAAACCCGAAAACCCCTCGAGAAAATCTCTACACTGGAAAGGTTCATGAACACGCGAAAGTGATAAGACATGGAAAATGGCAAGTCTCCGAAAATGAATATAATGGGACCTTCTACCCACCCTTCTGTCCTGGTTTCGGAATTGCTCTTTCCCCTGATGTTGTGGATAAATTTGTCGGTTTATTCGATGTCGTACCAAGATTTAGACTCGACGATGTTTACATAGGCCTGCTGGCAAACAAAACTGGTGTCAAGCCAATCCACAATCGTAACTTTGAGGTGTGGCCTAATAAAAAAAATAGATGCAGGTTCATAAGCAGTACTTTGGTGCGACATACGGTCACTGGTGACTGCCTTTTCAAGGTTTATAATGAAATGCTTTCTTACTTATCAGCTGTTAAAGGGTGAGAGCCAAGGCCTGACTCGTTCCCAGTCGTTTTTTTGTCTTCTATGTCTCCTAATTAAGTATTGAGGAGGGATGGGCATGAAAGATGTGCGCGGGGGAAGATGGGAAGGAGAACAACGGGGAGACGTCCCCTCTATCCTTCCCATCGTGCTTTTCGCCGAGACGCCGTAGTAGTCTTCCGCGACCGTTCCGTGACGGCCTACAAACATAATAATAAGAGACGACTTGGAACAAGTCAGCGCCAATGTCGTTTGATTTGTCATTCGCTGGGGCCTTTTTATTGTTCAAGATCAACGAGGTACAGTTACACCGTGTAGTAGCTGTATGACAGATGTCTGAACTAATGTGCCAAACAGCGATTTTTACAAGGGTGCACAGGTGTTTTGGTTTGACCTGTGATCAGGTGGTCCTTCTTCCCTTTTGTTTGCTAGCCGAGGAGACGCATCGAAAAAAAAACTCCTGATCGCAGGTTAGGTTTGGATATTTTATTGGTGGTTTTCAGTTCACGCCATTCAAAATAGATCAAAATAAATAAAGATCAAAACCGTTCAATAGATGAAGTCCAGAAGCTGGGAAATGAAAGGAGGTAAATATGCAAAGACCCTCGCCAAATTTCAGGTCAGAGGAATATTTCGTATACGAGATATTCGAAGAAACGTTTTACCCAAATTTATAGAGATTGGTATGGAGACGCCATGCTGGTGCTCATCCGGATGAGCAACGACATGGCGGACGGAAACCAACAGAAACATGTGTCACCGAGTTTTGCTACAAAAACGTGAATTTATTCTTCGAAGAACTCATAAACATTTAAGTAATACTTTTTTTTATCGTGAAACTAAAATTTCGGTAGGATCGATAGTTTTGTAGTTTGAATTTTAGTTACGTCATGTGAAAACCAGCAATAAGAACGTTTTTCCCAAACCTCTCGTGATATAATTATATTCGCTGACATGCAAGGAGAAAAGATTTTTGTAGCGGCAATATACCAGATAGTGTATAGTGGATAGCAGGGTGTGGCACTTTTTGGCCGAGTGGTTCTGGACCCGAAGCACCACTTGATCTCACCTTTCTAGTCTGGAGCGTTTCAGTCTTAGCCAGGCTAGTCAGGCTCCTGTCTTAGCTTTTTGTGTACTGACGATATAAATCGCATCTGTTTAGAGTTTCATGTTAAGTTGCGCGAAAATCGACGACATTTATGAAGGCAGTCAGTCCACATACAATGACCAAAGTTTTTAATAGGAACAAAAATTTAGTATGACGAGTGGAAAACGCAAGGGGTTGTGAAACTAGCCTTAGAGGAAAACAATCAACTGACGCACATAGACGCACATGTGGTGGCTGGACATTACAAGGCGCAACCCTTGTCGTCGTATTATCACCTTATGCAAGAAATTATACTCGCTTTAACCGATTTGCAGAAGAAAAATGATGATTTAGAAGCTAAGCTTAAAGAGGTACAAGACAAGAATCTCTATTTGGAAGCCTACTCGAGGCGGGAAAATATAATTTTTGAAAATATTGTGCAAGAAACAGACAAAGAAGACACTGAATTAGTTCCTCGAGACGGAATTAGGATACAAAGATGCAAGCACCGTTGAAATACAGAGGATTCATCGCTTAGGAAAGAAGAAGGAAGAAAAGCCCAGGCAAATTATCGCAAGGTTCCTCCGCTATAAGAACTGTGAAGAAATTCTAGCTTTGGGCTCCCGTTTGCGAGGAAGCAGATTTAAAATGTATCAAGATCTACCCTACGAAATAGTAGCAAGAAGAAGAAAGCAAATGGACACTTTTAAAGAAGCTAGGAAAAATAACATCCCTGCATCTTTTAGTCGGGCACAACCGGATAAGCTCTTGATAAAAGGTAAAATTTGGCCAGTTGGTAAACCTCTCGAGATACCAGGATAGGTGAGAATGCTTCTTCACCATGTCATTACTCATTAGGTAACCAAGATCACGTTAGTATCGTTTGACCACATTTGCCACCCGTTATTATCAATTGCTAGATAATTATTTAGGCGATCGGAATAGAGGTTCGTAACTGATGGCGCTTCGGTCTTTCTTATCTGTCTGTAAGATTCTAGGTAAAAGTCCTAGCTTCCCCCCCATGTCCCCTTACGAAGAGGTTTCTTATTTAGTTGTGTTTATCTGTGCATGTTCTGTTTGGTTTCTATGTTCAAGAGACTATGAGGTACCTCATAGTCTCTTGCTATGTTTTAATAGCTTAATCATCTGTTTTAGAAGTAAACGCCTAGTACAAATTCCTATCATACCGTGCAGCGATTGTGGAGCTTTGACACCAGGTGATGTAAGGCTTCCTCTGCAAAGCTGCCCAAGAGAATATCTATGGCTTTGACAATAGCATCACTAAACGTCAGGGGATTAAGAGACAATACAAAGCGTAGAGAGGTGTTTAATTGGCTTCGCAAAAAAAATTACTCGGCATATATGCTACAAGAAGTCCACTGCACTGAAAATACTAATCACGTATGGTCTGCTGAATGGGGCTATCAAGCTATTTTTAGTACTTATAAGAGCAATAAAGCAGGGGTATGCATTCTTTTCAACAACAACTTCGATTTTCAAATAGAAAAAACTTACACTGACCCCCAAGGACGCTTCATTATTTGCGACATTAAAACCAATGAAAAGTTTTTTACTTTAGGGAATATATATGCTCCTCATGAAGACAACCCAACTTTCTTCCTTGACTTCTTTGATCACCTTGCAGATTTCAAATGTGATGATATTATTATAGGAGGCGACTACAACCTTGTACTGGATTTAGAGAAGGACAAGATGGGTGGTCTTACTAAAACTCACCAAAATATTGTTAAAGTTGTTCAAGAATTCTCTGAGAAACTAGATCTGGTAGACGTCTGGAGGATTCTACACCCAGACACTAGTAGATTTACCTGGAGACAACGTCATCCAAAAGTACACTGTAGGCTCGATTTTTTTCTAGTAAGCCAAAGCACAGGAGTTTTAACTGAAAAAGAGTGCTTTGAGGCTTTAAGAGATATGGAATCAGAAAAGACCCCTGGGACCGACGGCCTACCAGCCGAATTTTACAAAGTGTTTTGGAAAGATGTATCCAGCACCCTAATTAGCGCACTGAACTACGCTTATGAAACTGGAAAACTCTCAATAACCCAGAGAAGAGGAATTATCAAACTTATCCCCAAGAAAGACGCAGAACCGTTCTTTATTAAGAATTGGGGACCCCTAACCCTCCTGAACAGCGACTATAAAATAGCGGCAAAATCAATTGCTAATCACTTGAAACCTCTCCTCCCTGATCTCATTAATTACGACCAGACTGGCTTTATAAGAGGTCGTTTTATCGGAGAAAACATCCGCCTTATCGATAGCGTTATTTGCTACGCTAAAGAAAACAATATACCAGGATTACTTTTGTTTTTAGATTTTGAAAAAGCTTTTGACACGATAGAATCGCCTTTCATTAGGAAAACCTTTCAACATTTTGGTTTTGGTAGTAGCATCTTAAAGTGGCTAAACCTTTTCTACTGCTGCCCAGAAAGCTGCGTTTTGAATAATGGTTGGGCGAGCGATTTTTTTGAAATCCAAAAAGGTGTAAGGCAAGGCTGTCCCCTTTCACCTTATCTGTTTGTTCTGGCAGTAGAAGTTTTAGCTAAGGCAATTCGTGAAAATAAAAGTATTAAAGGGATCTTTGTAAACGGTAAAGAAATAAAACTAAGTCAGTATGCAGACGATACAACTCTTATACTAGATGGAACAAAGGAATCGTTAATAGCCTCCCTCAAAACACTGGACGATTTTTATGAAGTCTCTGGCTTAAAACTTAATGACAAAAAAACAGAAGCCTTTTGGATTGGGGCAAATTGTAACAAAGATGAAATATCAATTCTCGGAAGAAACTTTAAATGGCCGAAGTGTAAAGTTAAAGCTTTAGGTGTCTGATTTTCAAATGATCCGGAATCAACTGCAACTTTAAATTATAATGAAAAACTAGATAAGGTCCGGAATGTTTTGAGCTGCTGGAAATACCGTAGACTTACCCTAGTTGGAAAGATAACGGTCCTAAAAAGTCTGGTTGCCTCTCAGCTCGTTTATGTGCTCTCACCTTTACATACAAATGTGAAAATTATCAAAGAAGTAAACAAGTTATTTTTTTCATTCCTCTGGAATGGAAAAGGAGATAAAATCAAACGAGACATTATAACAAACGATTATGCTAATGGCGGACTTAAAATGATAGACATACAGTCTTTTAACAAGTCCCTGAAAGCTACATGGATTAAAAAATATCTGGATGAAGAGAACCAGGGAAAACGGAAATATTTTTTTTGATATAGAGTTAGAGCGATTTGGAGGCCCAATAGTCCTCACTAGTAACTTAAACAAGAAAGATACCATTGAGAATCTCAAGATTAAGAATAACTTTATAAAAGTGATAGTTTCAATCTGGGCGGAAGTCAATTTTGATGAAAACATAACGTCCGAGAAACAATTTCTTGAACAAACTTTATGGCACAACTCACTCATTAGAATCGATAACTGTCCCGTCTTCTATCGTGAATGGTTTGATCGAGGCGTTACGAAAGTGAAACATTTGAAAGATGAACATAACAAATTTTTATCACTAGCTGAGCTGCAGCAAAAATACAGCCTGAAAGTTTGTCTTTTAAAGTATTTCGGACTAGTGTCTGCTCTAAAATCTCTTTGGACTACGTGTAAAACAAACTGCATCAAAAACTGCAACAATTATTAAACCTTTGTAGTAAGATTAACAGAATGCCAAAGTGCGAGCAAACTTGTATACACCAAGTTGCTTTCTACAAAATGCAAGTTACCATCCCATAATCAACAGAGATGGCTAAAAGACTGCAACGAAAATGATGTGGAGGCGATTAATTGGCGGGAAGCCTACCAGTTGGCCGCTAAATATACTAAAAGTACAAGAATTATTGAATTCCAATATAAATTTTTACATAGACGAATATCAAAGAACGACTTCTTA